AAAAATAAAATCCCAATTTATAACTTCCGGCATTTCCTACCACAATTTCGACTGATGAAGTCACTGCACTAACTTGTAACGCACAATTTCAACCCAACCAAACAAAAAAGAAAAAAGAAAAGACTTGTAACGCACAAAACTTGCGGTATGAGTTTCCATAGCTATGTTGTAGACGTGTGGGGCAGTGAAACCCTCTTGGACCGCCACCCAGTCACCGACCCCATCATCATCGAAAACTCTCTTTCTGTCTATTTATACGAAATTGGTAATTGTTTACAAAACCAAGGGCTGCAAACAAGAGACCAAAACCAGGGTCTTTTTAAGGAAACAAAAACAGTTCTAAAACCTCGGAAATACTTTCTTTCATCATATTCCAGAGAGAGAGAGAGAGAGAGGGTAAATAAAAAAATAAAAAAAAAGTAGGTCCTCGCTTCCCTTTTAATTCTCGGGGGCACAAACACAACAATCTCACGCCTCTCTCTAGCTTCTCATCCGATCTGTGACCTGTATCAGCTACAAATTCAGATACCCATCTGCTCAAGGCATCAGAATTTCCAAATTCTTGCTCTTGATTTTTCATTTTTTTTTATTTTTTATTTCTGCTTGAACTCAGTGCCGTGCGCTGGTTTTTAATCATGGGGAGTTGGAGAGGCCAACAAGGTTACATTTCTTCTCAACAGCACATTCCCTGGACTAAACCACAGAACAGAAAGCCGCCACAGGGTATATATATTTATAATTTGAAGTTTTTTCATGAGCACTGGTTTGTAAGTTTGTTGAAGATTGTTTCTTTGAGGTGGGTTTTTAGTTTGGGAAATTGGGTTCTTCTTTGATTTTCTTATGGTTATCTCTGTTTGTGTTGTTTATGAATTTGGTTCTGTTTCTTGAGCCGCTGAGTGGGTTGAAGTTTGTTTGTTTTTGGAATTATGCATATGGGTTCTACCTGATTTTTCTATTTGCTTTGTATAACTATATACCGGCTTCTTTTGTCTCTACAGAACAAAGTTTCATGACAAAAAGTTTTACCAACGGGGAGAATTTTTTTATTAAGAAAAAAACAATCTTATTTGAGTAGGAGACTAATGGAGATATATCATTGATTGAGGTTTTAGAAGTTAATTAAGAAACAAATCTTATTTTGTCTCAAAATCTCGCCACTTTTGGAAATAAAATAAGGTGGTTACTCTTATAAGTCTTAATAAAACCTATAACCAGGAGTTTTTTCTGAAATCTACCAGACAGCAGAAGATTTCTCAAAGAAAAATTTTCTGCTTTTTTCCATATCAGGGGGAGCAGTAGTGGTTTTGGTAAATCCCTCGCCAACTGTAGTTAACCTTTTAGTTTCTTTTCCCGAGCTGGAGCATGTGTGGTTCTGTAAAGATGGCTTCATTGTGTATAGAAGTTTTACACTATGAGGTGAGCTAGGCTGTTATGATGGTAGAAGTTCTTTGTTTTGAATGATTACCCTGTTTGATTTTGTCACTAAAACAGAGCGGTGTTCGAATTAGTTGATATTTGTATATGTGTAGATTTTATTGCAACGAATATGGTTTTTGGCAGGGCTTTATACATTTTTGTTACCGTGTTCAGTTGCTTGTGTACCTGGGAAGTGTAGCTTCTAATATTTGAACTGCGAGAGTTTTAATTTGCAGAGTATTGTTTTATTTTTGTTAAATTCACGATTTCTAGCTGAAGCTATGTTGCAGACTTGCAGTGGCATGTTTGGTTTTGGAAATAAGGTTCTTGCTGATTGGTTAGTTTAGCTGTTAATGTTAACTTGATATGGATTTTCAATTTTGTAACCCGAAAAAAAAAGGTGTGAAAATGCTGTTGAAATCGCGAAAAGCACGACAGTTGTCTTTTCGGTTAGATTCCCATTGTCGTTTTTCTGTTGGATTTTCCTTTAAATGTTACAGTGATATGTACGGTTTTAAAGAAGGGTGACGACATTTTTCGTTTGGAAATAAGTTTCTTGCTGATTTGGTTAGTTTAGCTGTTGATGAAATCGCAAACAAATTTGTCTTTTTCGGTTAGATTTCCATTGTCTTTTTCGGTTAGATTTCCTTTGTCGTTCGGGTTGCCCTCTATATATATTTATAGCATTACTTTTCGAGTTTGTATCATATTTCCCTCTCTGTGATCCTTTATTGCATCTGTTTCCCAGGTTGCATCATATTTCCATTTCTGGGATCATTCATTCCATCTCTTTCCCTTTCAAGGAAATTGGGATTCTTTCTTCTATTTTTGTTTACTTGTTAACCAAATGTAGAATGTTCTGTAGTTTTATGATGATTGAATTGACAGTTTTATTTGTTTTCTCTTACCAGATAGTTGGCAGTTCAGTGTGCCGCACTGGGAAAGGAAATTCTGTTTGATTGTTGGCTCAGTTCCATGGGGAAAACTCATAGAAACAAAGAAGTATATGTATCTCTATGAAAACATCGTTCAGTGGAATGATTCTGCTGGTGAAGAGGCATTCAACAATGCAAAAAACCGGTTTTGGGAGGAGATTAATGGTCTACACTGTAGCATATCGTTGCCGGATCCTGACATTTATATCGATGATATTGATTGGAACTCCAGCATTGATCCTGAACTGGTTTTGGATTTGGAAAGGGAGCCTAAACCCTCCGATGATAAAACCCAAGAAGATGCTGTTATTCTCGGCAATCCCCTCCTTTTAAATCAGTCATTTTCGTGCACCGGATGGGGTGATGAAGAAGAGGACTTCAAAAATAAAGAAAATCCTGAAAATTGGAATCATGGATGGAATGAGGATAATAAAGAAAATCCTTGGGAACCTGTTTCTGCTCAGAGTAAAGCAGCCGTAGGAGGATGGGATAACAATTGGGAGAACAATGCTAGTGAATGGAAGAACAATACTGGTGGTCCAAACAACATGTATTATAGACGAACTGATGGAGCTTTTGGGGGAAAGTCGGATGCAAATAGCAGGAAGAAAGAGGGTGGCAGTTGGTACAACTCAAGATACAAGACCTCAAGATTTAATGGCGATTACCATCAGAAAGATCGAGGGTGGAGGAACGGAGGGAGAAGGAACAACAGGGTTCATGTTGGCTATGAAAACCTGGCTTGAGGCAGTGGAACTTGGCAATGTCAGCAAATTTAAGACTGCAATGGAGTTGGAAGAAAACAGTTTTGTGAGAATATGTCGTACGTATTGTAGCTATTTTTTTTTTTTTTTTCTTTCGTTCTATTGGGCTGTTTATAGGGCAGGGTATATAATAGGTGGTACTATGAACTGGGGCAAAAGTTGAGCAAATTCTATTAATTCAGTTTGTATGTGTTGCATTTTGGTCATATGTTGATGAGAACTCGCCTGAGATTTTGTAGGTAGCCTGTGAAATTAGGTTACTGTCCATATCTTAGGTGATATGTTCGTTGATTGTCAACAAAAAATGTATAATCTGATCAGAATGTGATACTTTCTCATGAAATCTATGCAGTGTAAGTAAATGTAATACTTCTTTTGTTCTAAGTGCCTTCAGCCATAATTTTCTTTTATTCTTTGCTGACAGAAAACAAAAACAAAGAAAACACGAAAAAGCCAAAGTTTTCTTTTATTTTCTTGTAATCAGGAAGATTTTAGTTGGAGTGGGAAAAAGGAATTTGATGAGAATAGCGACGTTTGGGTTGATGAGTTTTTTTATTTACACGTTTATGTGTTCTCTGGAAGTTGTCGTTGTCTTTGTTCTCTTGTTCCAATGCCTTCCTTTTTTCATACTTTGTCCCTTGGTCAATATTCATATATAAAGAATTGGGGAATGCCAACTTCCCTCATTCATCATTTTGGGCGGAAACATTTTACCCCTACTCATGGTTCTCTCACTTTCTTAAAGTAATGGATATTGGGGGTGGGCATTTGATTCGAAAAATTTGCATACCGATCATATCGAGTTGATGGTTTGGTTTAATTAAATTATTATTTTTAATTAATAATGGATATCGGAATTATTCCAAATTATTTTTTCCGAGTGTTTACTGACACATGAGTATTGGAATGATTTCAATTCCACTTTTTCTATGTTTACTTACACACACAAAATAAAAAATCACGAGAGTTCCATAGTAAAATCCATAATCAAACGCCTTCAAAATTAGGAATTAGATCAGCTAGAAAGAGTCGTTGATTCAATTCCAAATTCTTAAGTTCTCCAATTTATGACTTCAAATACCACTTAAAATTGGTACATAATTGAAATTTAAATAAATATTTATTCCATTATTAAAATACATGTCTAAATCTTGAGGTTATTCCAGTATTTTTTTTAATTTATAATTTTGATAAATAAGTCATATTAATAAGGTTATGTTTGGCAATGAGCATGTGAAATTGGAAATGCATCCATGTACTTGGAATTGATTAGTGTCCAATGTATCGGTTATTGGTAGAGATTTTCATTTACCGAAAATTCGATACAGTTAGGGCCAGTTTGGCATTGCTGTGCTGTGAAAATAATCGCTATCAGATTTGCTGTGAGAGAAATCAGCTGTGAGAAGAATCTGTTTGGCGTTTGGTAAACTTTTTGTTAAAAGTGTTGTTGGTATGGATTCCCATATAATCAAAAAATGATTGCCGCATAATCATTAAACCTAGCATATCTTCAAAATTGATTTATGCATAATCAGAAAATGAAAGCACCTTATTAGCTGCTTTCCCTAATAGCTTTCTCTCACAGCAATTTTTAATAATAAGTTATTTTCTCATAGTTTACCAAACGGATTGGGCTTTCCAAAATTTTTAAAAAATCACTTATCACCCCAAATAAGCAAATACCAAACAGGCACTTAATGGGGTTGAGATCTCTCATGAATCGAACCGACCTAGTTGGCCGTACTAAAATACAAAGTATAATTTAATTAAAATTAAAATTTGAAAATTGGTGGTTACGAAATCGCCTTGAGTTAGTTAGAGTTTGAGGCTTTGAGCCCATTTACATGGTTTCTTTATCCGGAAAGGCTTTTTGGGCAGGCATCAGGCCTCTTTCTAGCAGAACCCATTACTAAAGAATCCACCAGAGGTCCATTGTCAAAAAACCCCGACCCAAACCAAGTCCCAGAATAAGGTTTGTAAAATCTGAAGACTGAAGAGGACGGAGGGGAAGAGAGCGAAGCTCGAGCAGGGTAAAGGGTTTCTGACATTTCTGTACTGTCTCCTTCACACATTGCACATAAACTGTTCGTTTATAGGTCTCACTGAGAAAAAGGGGGAAAACTGCGCTAGGTAGTTTTGTTTTTCAGTAAAGTGCCATGACTATGGAGGAGGATAAACCTTCAACAACTGTAGCAGAGCCATCTGTTGCAGCAGTCCCAATTGCTCCAGTTCGACCTCCCGTACCGAGGCCGCCGGCGCCACAAAATGGTGAAGCGAGGGCGAGTACGAGCGATTCCGATTCCGATTCGGCGGGTCCTCCCCGAGCCACCGGCGTTTCGGGTGCCGAATACGAAATATCGGAAGAGAGCAGAGTGGTGAGAGAGCGACAGGAGAAAGCAATTCAAGAACTGTTGATGAAGCGCCGTGCTTCTGCTCTTGCTGTTCCCACTAACGACATGGCTGTGAGGGCTCGTCTTCGGCGGCTCGGCGAACCCATTACTCTTTTTGGAGAAAGAGAGATGGAGAGGCGAGACAGGTTGAGGATGATCATGGCAAGGCTTGATTCGCAAGGCGAGTTGGAGAAGTTGTTGAAAGTTCATGAGGAGGAGGAGGCTGCCGCTTCTGCTGCATTGGAAGATGGTGATGATCAAATGGTTCAGTACCCTTTTTACACTGAAGGATCCAAAGCTTTGTTGAATGCGAGAATTGACATTGCAAAGTACTCCATTAAGAGGGCAGCTTCGCGGCTTGAACGGGCTCGAAGGAAGAAGGATGACCCAGATGAGGATATGGATGCAGAGTTGGACTGGGCTTTGAGGCAGGCATCAAGTTTGGAACTAGATTGTAGTGAGATTGGGGATGATAGGCCACTTTCTGGTTGTTCTTTCTCACATGATGGAAAACTGCTTGCCACTTGGTATGGTCTCTTTACCTCTCTTTTTTGGTGTCTGAATTGTAAATTTAGTTCATTGCTAAATATGATAATTCATGGTTTATTTCCTGCTATTTGATTTTTGATGACTATAGCCATCTTGGGTTGTAAGGTAAACATATGATTATAAGTGAAAAAAAAAAGTTTCAACCTTTTAATATTATTATGCTAACTACGTATTTTTATGATGGCTAGCCAAGATTTATTGCTTTGCTAGTACTATAGATTTTGTGAGACTTATTGTATATAGAAGAGGTTGGACTAATTTTCTTGTGTTGCTTTACCTTTCTCAGTGCTATAAGTGGAGTTGCCAAGTTGTGGAGCATGCCTGAAGCAAAGAAGTTTGCCACCTTGAAGGGACACACAGAGCGCCTGACTGATGTTCAGTTTTCTCCTGTGCATAACCTCGTAGCAACTGCTTCTGCTGACCGTACTGCAAAGTTGTGGAACACTGAAGGATCTCAGCTGGTGACATTTAAGGGTCATTTGGACCGTCTTGCACGTATTGCCTTCCATCCATCAGGAAAATATTTAGGTACAACTAGTTTTGACAAGACATGGAGGCTATGGGATGTAGAAACTAGTGAAGAGTTGCTTCTTCAAGAAGGTCACAGTAGGAGTGTCTACGGGATAGCATTCCACCCTGATGGATCATTGGTGGCATCTTCTGGACTGGATGCACTTGCTCGTGTTTGGGACCTCCGTACGGGTAGAAGTATTCTTTCCTTGGAAGGCCATGTCAAGAAAGTGAGACTCTAGTTTTATCTTTTATATTTTTAATGCAATTAATTTTCATTATTTGTACACGTTTCATTCAATTATTTTAACATTTGGTTATCTTTCAGGTTCTAGCACTCAGTTTCTCAGCAAATGGCTATTATTTAGCCAGTGGGGGTGAAGACAACACTTGCAGGATATGGGATTTAAGAAAAAAGAAATCCATATACATCATTCCAGCACATTCCAATCTCATATCACAGGTCAAATTTGAGCCTCAAGAGGGATATTTCTTAGTAACTGCTTCGTATGATTTGACAACAAAGGTACACTACTTTTTGAGAACCATGATTTCTAAATAGAGAGTGAATTTGGAGTTATTAATATTGATTACCATTTTATTGGTTCATATCTTGATTATGCAATATCTCATCTTTGCCAGATATGGTCAGCCCGAGATTTTAAGCCTGTCAGGACGCTCTCTGGACATGAAGCAAAAGTTACTTCTTTGGATATTGCAGGAGGTAAGTTTCCTAATCAACGGTTATGCATATTCTTTTGATTATTACGTCCTGTTTTCACCCATTTAAGTATGCATGGACTTTTTGGGGTAAGAGGCATAGTGAAAAAAATAAAAACAAATGATTTTTTTTTTTTTTTTTTTTTGGGG